GATAGCATGAGCTCCAGCAGCGTATTCTAAAAGTCAAATAAACAATTCTGCAACACTGGATGTGCAACACCCAAATCCCTACTGCACATCTACCATCTACACCACCTATATCATCTACACCATCCACCTCGGCGCCGACGACGAGAGCATCTCCTTACATCAGAGCACCGCTACGATGAGCTGCAAAAATTCAGAAACTAACACAAAAATGGGATCCTGCAACTGTAAGTTCTCTCTGCATCACAACATAAACTATGAGCTCCAGAAAAAATAAAACAAAGAGGATCCTACAGAAACTGCGTGCTCCGGAAATTCAGAAACACACAAATGGGATCCAGTGCACAAATTTTCAGCAGAAGGGGATCCAGTGCACAAATTTGTATCACAACATAAACTATGAGCTTCGGAAAAATGAAACAAGGGGATCCTACAGAAACTGCACGCCCCAAAAATTCAGAAACACACATACGAGTTTTCAGAACTATGCGCTCCATTGCACAAATTTTCAGCAGCATAAAAACTGAAAAAAATGATCCTGAAACTCGTTGTCGCGCTGTCGAACTTCCTACAACGCCGCCGAACTACCTACAACCGCTCTGCTCCTTGTCGCGCCATCGTCTCCATCATGGTGACATGCCATTTTTTTTTTTTTTTGAGGAAAATGAACTATGAAGGTAGCTAAAACTGACTAAACGGGACTTATGGACGTCACTTATTTGCCATTTACATCCCCACCGGTCCACCTCCTCCAAGCGAATCGTTCGCCAACTAAGAGGGTCCTATTTCAGTTACATTTTGTTTCTTTTAACAGTTCCCTAGTAAAAAATATCAAACCATCTGCATCTAAATTGCCAAGATCTAGAGTTGATTCTAAAAAAACCCTCCAAACTAGGTGAGAGCACGTCCGCTAATTTGCAGCAGCAAATAACTAAACTACCATTTCAGCAACCTAACACAGATATCCAATGCAACAAATGAACAAGTTCGCTCGTTTATGGTTCCAGCTCAGCCAGTAAAACCAGACGAACAAGATGCTCCAAATCAACATTCCAGTTCATCAGGACGGCAACAGAATGCCTTCCAGTAGAACAGCAGCCGCAACAGAATCACATCAACAGTTGGGGAACACAATCCATCCGCACAAGGAAACCTACAATTCTGACGTTGTTTCGTTCCTTCGGCCAAATGCATGCTCAAGAAATCGAACAAGGAACCAAAATCAATCAGTGCAGGAAAATACACGCTAATTTTCGGCCGCCGCCCGTCTTCCGGAGCATCTTGTTCGGGGGAGGGGGTCGGTTGCCCGATCCATACATGTTGGCCACCGCCGAACCCGTCATCGTCGTCGCCACCGCGGAGGATATGCGCCACCGCCCCTGCCGCCCAACGCCCTGCTCCGCCCGCCGCCGCCCTCCCGAATCCAGCCGCGTATCCCTAGCCCTCTCAGAGACAAGAGTCAATAGAGCTGGTCAGTTGCAAGAATAACTGTACTGAAACAATGGCTCGGTTTCAGAAACGCACGCGCGTCACGCGGCGGGGAGGCTGTCGTCCGTCCGATCAACAGGCGATCCGACGGACGCGGAGCCGGCGGATGCGGCGCGAGTGATCGGTCGGGTGAAGGAGAGCTTTTCCCTATTTTAAATTCTATATTTTTTTTAAAAATGCATTCTAGTAAAAAAGTGAACGGTGGCCCAGTCTAGCGCGACCAGTAAACCAGGGAACCGGGAGAGGAGAACTGGCGCGTCGTGAGCAAGCGTTCGCCTCGTTGTTGGGTGGGCCCATGGAGCTGGGGCACGTGAGCGCTGGCTCCTTTACCTGCCGCTTAAGGCGGGCGAGGAGGTCTCGACGATATGTGTGATAATTAGTGAAATACTTTTTTCATCTGAAAAAACTTGTCATTAAAATGGATAAATAAAATATATCTAAAACTAAAATACGTCTAGATATATCTCATTTTGTTTATTTTGATGACAAGTATTTTCGAACGGATGGAGTATTATATAGCAAGCACATACAAAATGGGCTCATTCAAGTGTTCAAAAAAAATGGGCTGATTAAAAGCAACTCCAAGGAGCCGACCTATTTCGTCCGCTTGCGTCTGTTTGGGTCGGCGCGGACAAAAGTGGCGGCCCAACGCGCCGACCCAAACCCAAATCACGTCCGCGCCGACGCATTTGCGGTCCAAATTTGCGTCCCAAATGTGTCGGCGCGGACGCCGAACGGACGCTTCGCGCGCCTTTTCGTTGTCCGTTGCGTCTTACATGGCGGCCGTCCAACTACCCGCTGCCCACGCGGTCAGCTTAATTTATGACGACGGGCCCACGCGTCAGCGACGGCGCTCGTCCTTTTTAAGCCGACCGTGTGGCGGGGCCGTCCTCATCCAAACTCGTCGTCCCCATCTGCCCACCCTTGCTCCCTCGTCGCCGGCAAACCCTAGCCACCGCAACCACAGCGACGATGGGCCTCTTCTCCGGCGCCAGCGGCAACAAGGCCAAGGGCAAGTCCCCCGCCACCCCTTTCCCCTCCGAGTTTCTCCCACCCCGTCGGCGCCTCGCCGGCAGAGGCAGCGCGTCAACGTGCCAGTGCACCAGGCGGAGTGGCACTGGCAGAACAGCCAGCCGCTGCCATATCCCGACGTGACGCTGCCGAACGACTGGCATCTGGATCTAGATAAGATCCCAGTGCCGGTGGCGCCGCGGTTGGCTCGTGCTCACGCGGAGGAGGTGCGGCGCCGGCGGGCGCTGCTGACGGCGGAGCAGCGCCGCGACTCCGCCTACGCAACCGACTTGCCCAACTGGGCGAGGTGGTTCGTCTTCGAGCACGAGGAGGCGAGGCGCCGGGGCGTGCGCGAGGTCGACCGGAGGCCAATGCCGCTGGTCGTCCGCAAGGAGGACCAGGCGACGGAGGACGCCTACCAGGCGGCCCTTGCGGCCGTCTACCGTGAGAGCGAAGAGGACGAACGGCGCAGAGCGGAGGCGGAAGAGGAGGCCCACTACGAGGCGGCAATGGCGCAGGCCCTTGCCCTCTCCGCGGCGGGCGATAGCGTGGTGCCGCCGGTGGCCCCGCCGTCCCCATCAAGCCGGAGCCGCGGCCGCAGCCCGAGCCCATTGCGTGCTTCTCCTGTAATGGAATGGTGCGCGAGTGGGTGTCCGCACCACCGGTCCGGCTGGGGGCGACGCCGGCGCAACAGCAGGCCTACCTCGAGATGTGGCGCCAGCGCCGACTGGCAGAGGAGCGCCAGCAAGGCGAGTACGAGAAGATGCTCGAGCACGACCTCGAGGAGGAGACGCGCGAGGCCGAAGAGGAGGCGCGCCAGGCCGCGGTTGCACAGGCGGCCGCACAGCCCCCTGCTCCGGCACTGCCTGCGCCGGCACAACCCGACATGGCAGCGCTCTGGAACACGGCGTTCGCCTGGGCCGGGCCGGCGCCGACGCTCATCGACCTCACGGACCCCGAGGACGACGACGACGACACCTAGGGCAGCGCACCGCCTCGTAGTTTAGGTTGTTTTTATTTTTTTAAATGCAAACATGGACGCGTGGACTTTCGCCGGCCTTCGTGGCCGGCTTTAATGTTTAATTAATGTAGTTTCTTTTTTTTTAAATATGCATGCGTTCATTTTTTCTGGCGCCGTCTAAATGGGTCGCAGGCCAGCGTTGGGCGCACGTGCCGACGCAAATGCGGAAGCGGGCATCCATGTCTGTCTAGCCGACCCAAACGAACAAAAAGCGGACGAAATCGACATCCGTTTGGATCGGCCCGTTGGAGTTGCTCTAGAAGATGATAATGCAAGAGTTTGGGGTGACAGATGGGTTCTGGTAATTTTGACAATAAACCAATTTGTCGCTGGCCGGATGCCACCGCCGTTAATTAAAGTTTGTGACCTCTTGTATCGCGACGGAGCAACACGGGACATGAGGAGCAAAGGGTTTGGTCGAAGGAGAAAAACATGGTGTTTTTTATTCTGTGTTGAGTCTGATCTCCTGCTGTCTGCACCTGCACCGCACACATGGTGGTTCTGCTTCCTCTTCAGCACACAGTTCCTGATACTTTGGGCAAAGGATTCACGACGAGAAATGCCCCAAACTTCAGCCCAAAGTTCAGGTATTGGCAGTTCCCTCATGCCTGGCTGTAACTTTGTAAAGATTTCTACAGTGATAGAGCCTGACCTATCCTAAGATATGGATTCCTGTATGACACTCAAGCGCCCCAGTTCAGACCACACCTCCTTCTGTCAAGTCCTGGCAGGGGCAGCTCCAAACTCTTTGCCGCCAATCCTAGTATAATCCTACTGTTGCAATATAGTGCTGGAAAATCTTCATTCTCGAAGATACAACAATTCTCTACTGCCCCTTCGTCCAATCTTTCACGGGCTGAATTTGATAATCATTTCTTTACATAATCGCGGGCTGAATTTGATAATCATTTCTTTACATAATCGCATTATTATTGACAGATAAATCACGAGCCGACGTTCTAGAAGATTTATATCTCATTGCAATGCATGGGCATTGCTTATGGCCTCGTCAGAGCAGCAGCGGTAGAGTGTCATGACCAACGTGCACTAATAATTATTTGAAGTTAAGCTACTAACTACACCCGCTATCCCATAATATAAGACGTTATTACATCCAATATGTTAGTATATGGGATGTAATAATGTCCTATTTTATGGGGCAAAGTAACAGCAGCGCAATTGGTGGCAACACACAAACAACGAACCATGTGAGACTAAGGCAGAACATCTGGAGAAATTTTGTAATTTGAAACATAACGTAACAAACTCAAGACTTAGATGAACAATTCGCCACTCAGTTTACAATACACACCGACAAACCGCCTCAAAAACCACCAAATCAAGGGATGAGCACATGGCGCCGAGAAACAAACTAGCCTAGCCAACAAGTGGATACGAGACCCAGATTATTCAAAGTAAACACGGCTATGGTGGTGACATCCTCCTTGCAATTAAAAGGGGGGCTCTGCTATACGAGCACGGCTTACTGCGCCTTGGCGAGCTCGGCACGGATCTGCTTGGCGGCCTCAACCATGTTGGTGAGGGCAGGCTTGACCTCGGCGTACTTGCGGGTCTTGAGACCGCAGTCAGGGTTCACCCACAGGATGTTGGTGTCCAGGACCGCGAGCATCTTGTTGACACGGTCGGCAATCTCCTCCTTGGACGGGATCCTGGGGGAGTGGATGTCGTACACACCCGGGCCAATGCCAGCACCGTACACCACACCCTCGCGGAAGACGGACAGAAGCTTCTCGTCGGACCGCGAGTTCTCGATGGTGATCACATCAGCGTCCATGTTGATGATGGACTGGATGATGTCGTTGAAGTTGGAGTAGCACATGTGGGTGTGGATCTATAAAGAGAGAATGTGTCAGTTGCAATGCAATGATCCAGAAGAATGGTAGGTTCCTGCAAGGCTCCACTGAAGCAGATTTTTACCTGGGTGGTGTCCTGCACACCGCAGTTGGTGATCCTGAAGGAGTGCACGGCCCAGTCCAAGTAGAAAGCATGCTCAGACTTGCGGAGTGGCAGACCCTCTCTCAAAGCAGCCTCGTCAATTTGGATGACCTGCAAAGGGAACCATTTAGAAAAAATCCCAGCTACACTCATTATGTGCATGGATCCCGTTGCTCAAATGTGAAACAAATACAGCAGTGCCAACCTGAATACCACCAGCCTCAAGGTCCTCGACCTCCTTCTTGATTGCAAGAGCAATCTGGTAGCAAGTCTCAAACCTGATAAGATATGAAGCAGCAGATTTAGCCTCTAAAGACAGGTGCTATCCTCAACATCTTGCAAACATTATTTGAGGAAGCTACTAACCTCGGTTGGTCATTTCTAACAAAAGACCAGTTAAGGATTGTGACAGGGCCTGTCAACATTCCCTTCATTGGGCGAGCAGTCATGCTCTGTGCCATCTTGGACCAGAACACAGTCATGGGGTTGGGGCGGCTCACATCACCGTAGATAATCGGTGGCTTGACACACCTTGATCCATAAGATTGCACCCAGCCATTGGCAGTGAATGTGAAACCAGAGAGCTGCTCACCGAAGTACTCAACCATATCGTTCCTCTGTGAAATGCATATCCAACTCAGTCAAACACAGAATCGGACATCTCAAGATATAAAAAATAAGTCATTACATTTTGTGCTTGAGAAAATAAAAAGGTATTTTCTCAAACAGAACATCGATGACACAAGGATACTGACCTCTGGCTCTCCGTGCACAAGCACATCAATGTCAAGCTCTTCTTGGATCTTAACAACCTTGCTAATTTCCTCCTTGATGGCATTGGTGTACTCCTCCTCAGAGATCCTGAAACACAATTAATTTATGAGCAATAGACAAAATATAACTGGTTAATGAAGCAGCATTATGAATATTACTCACTTCTTTGCCTTGTACTCACGGCGGACTCTCCTGAGCTCCACGGTCTGTGGGAATGATCCAATGGTGGTCGTGGGAAGGACCGGAAGGTTGAGCTTCTTCTGCTGCGCATCCAACCTAGCGCTAACGGTGGTAGCACGGCGGTGATCAGAGCCCTTGAGGGCAGTAGCCTGTAAGGAATATATGATTATGGATTGTGTACATGTTATGTCAGCATGGAATTGGAATGTGCAGTTTTGAAGCCCAGGTTACTTACAGCCTTCTGGACCTCCTCATTTGTGACACGTGGTGACGACCTTCTTGAGGCCAGAGCAGCAGCATTTGCTGCAAAGTAAGCCTGCAGATGATAACATATAGAAATGAACAAGTCATTGTCTGAAATATATAAAAGAAAACCAGGCTCTAGTCAAGAGGATGCAAATTAAGGCCATAAACGTTCATCATACCTCATCCTTTTGACCAGCCAATGCCTTGGCAAGGGCGTTCACCTCAACGACCTTTTGGGCGGCAAATGCGAGCCATGACTTAATCTCATCATCAAGCTTGGTCTCATTTACAAGGTCCACAGCAGTGTGCATGAGTGAGCAGGAAGTCGATACGACAAGCTTGTCTGCACAAATGTCATAGTCAGAAACTGGAAATAGTAGATGCAAGCCTATAATAAGGAAAACTTCTACATAGCACAACATGCTTACCCTTCCCAACAACAGCCTCAAGAGACTGAAGAGTGGCGAGAGATGCAGCAAGGTCATCAGCCCAAATGTTGCGTCCATCTACGACACCAGCAAAGAGGTACTTTCCAGCAGGGAAACCACTCTTGACAAGCTCAAGAGTCTTGGTTCCACGTTCAAGGTCAAAACCATAAGCAGTCACACTGCTCAATGATGTAAGAGTCCTGAAGTAGCGGTCAAAACCACGGTCAAGGTTAAATGTGATATTCCAACAAAAGGGCATATAAAAGGAACAATCAATTAAAATGGTAAACTGGCACAGAAAAGAAGCATACTTGTACGAGTCTGCGGGAACATCAGCGAAGTAGGTCTCAACAAGAACGTTCAATCCAGAAAGTGCGGACTCAAGTTCTGCGTAAGCTGCAGAGAATGCAGACAATTGGTGGGATTCAAGGTCCTTAACAAGGGTGGGCTCATCAAACTGAATCCATGAAGCGCCAGCTGCCTTCAACTCAGCAATAACCTCCCTAAAAACCATGATAAGTCAAATTATCAACTGATGATTTAGGTGCAATAGTAGTCATTTACTCGTTTCTATGCTTACTTGTAGACGGGAAGGATGCTGCTAAGAAGGGAAAGGGGAGAGAATGATTTCTCTACACCCTTGGCGGCCTTTGAGAGCAACAAGTATGAGACTGGTCCAACAAGTACTGGGACGGTATCAACGCCAAGCTGCATGAGTAGCGAGTGCACATAATATAAGACATACAATACAAGCACGCAAATAACCTTTAAAAGAAACACTAAGATTCATTTCCGAGTGAACGTCACAAAATTCAGAAATTGCTGCTTAACTCTGTAATCATACCGGCATCACTATTCCCACATTGGAGGGATTATAATGAACAGATAATTAGTAGCTGAAAGCTTGTCAAATCAGGTACATTGACAACCTGGTGCTAAACCATGTAATCCTACCAGCATCGCTATTACCACGTTGCAGGGTTTGTAGTGAAAATATAATTAGTAACTGCAATCTCATTTTTGCTATTCAACACTTTCTACATTCAAAGTTTTCAGCACAGGACCTATGGTAATGAGATGTTACAACTATATAAAGTAATTATTAGAGTTACTTGGTTGGCCATTAACCAATTTGATCAGACAAGAGTGAGAATGTTCTGAAATATCAATGTAAAACTGCACCTTAATGTAACTTGCAACTCTTTTACTAGTTCAAAACAGTTAAGCAAATGTAGGAATAAGAAATAGTTTATTACTACTATCACTTGAGATTTGATTAAAACAGGGGCATTCTAGAGTGATCAGGGTGTCATCACAATGCTTGCGTGTTCAAAAATAACAATTAGGCAGGCTAACGTCACAAGGGTAAAATTTCACAAGATATAGAAAGTCAGCTAATATATGATTCTACTATCATACCGCCTTAGCCTCCTTGTACTCATTGATAGCCTTGTGAGAAGAGTAGGAGAACTTGGTGCTAGGAGCCAATTCAGGGACGATAAAGTGGCTGCAATAGTAAAAGATGTCGTTAGTAAAAGTACTAGATACAGAATAAACTATGTGAGAACAACCTTAGGTAGAATCCGGTGGACTTACTAGTTGGTGTCGAACCACTTGGTCATCTCCATAGCAGGGACGGTGGCGTTACCCCTAGCCATCGAGAAGTAGGTGCTCAAATTGATCTCCCCACCGGTCCATGAGTAACGGTCTGGGACGGCACCGAGCATGGCGGTGGTGTCAAGAACCTGATCATAGTAGGAGAAGGTGTTGCTGGGGATGTACTTGATCCCAGCATCAGCCATCTGCTTCCAGATGCTGGCCCTGAGGTCGGTGGCAACCTTCTCCAAATCCTCAGCGCTGCTCTTGCCATCCCAGAAAGACTCCAGGGCAAACTTGAGCTCCCTCTTGGGGCCCATGCGCGGGTATCCGACAATGTGGGACGCCATCTTTCTGCATAAATAATAGAATTAGAATCAGCTTGATCCAGCTAAGAGAGTTAGGATCTTGCAACTGAGACTATGGATCTCTATAATTTAAACGTAACCTGAAGAAAACTAACTTACAAAATAAAAAAATTCAGTAACAATTTTCTGCAAGCAACTAACTAGAAACATAGTGAACAAACGATAAAACGCGTTCATTAAAATTTCTTGGTTCTTGCAGGAAATCTATTAGCATGGACTCATACACCTGATTTACTAGTGTCTAAAAGAACAAAAGTAGAAAACTGAACTAAATCAATACAGGTAGGTAGGTTAGGTTAGGTGTACCAACAGCAACCACTACCATGTAGACCTCAGGGTTGGTACATAAATCCTAACAACAATTGGTGGGAGGCAGTGGCAGTGTCCCTCTCACACCAGCAAAGGGTGGGACAGGTGGATCTTGGACAAATACACAAGTAACGATCAACAAAATTTAGCATGGAGTGCATTCCAAGTTTATAACAGACACTGCATGCATGGACACTAATAGCAGAATTTTCAGATCTTTTGAGCTACACGCCAGTACCCATGCACTAACAATAAACAAATAAATCTCCAGCGAACTGAATAATAAAGCCGAGGAGAAAACCCTCTGGGCTCAGGGTCAGATCCAGAACCACTGGGCTGGGCACCTAATAAACAGAGCATGGGCCTAAATATAGTGTGGCTAGGTCTCAATCGACCGAGACTTAACTAAGTTAAGGTCAAGTGACAGAAAAAAAAAACTAGTGACATGATATGTAAAAAATAATGCACGGATCACCGTGTAAGATCCCACGAATATAGCATCGACTGAGACTTAGCAATCCAAAGAATATAATACTGAATCAAAATTTAACGGCGAGAAGCGCCAGATCCCCCAAATCCGAAACCACCAAACGGCCTGGCCATTTCCGTGATCGGAGATCGGATCTGAGCGCCCGATCGGCTCAGATCGGACCTCAGCAACGGCACCAGAAAAAACTATTCGCGGAAACGGAGCAGCCCATTCCCGCCCCTGTTCCTGCAAACAGAGCAGCCGAGCTCTCCGTCCGCGCCGCCTACGCGCGACGCGCACAGGACACGGGTCCAGGACGAGACCCGCCGGCGGTAGCCCGGCGATCGATCCTACGACAGATTACCAACATAGATCGTCATTCAAAGCGCGCGGGACAGCCGATCCGGTGGTGCACGGATCCACGGGAGCCCGACGTGCGCCCGTGCGTGGGG